TGCTAAAATCTATTCTGACATAGTGAATGTCGTGTTTACTATTTGTTCTACGGATAACATCCCTTGTGCCGTTGTAGATTCTGTGGTAGTGCTGGACGGAGTTTCAGGGGTCACTGCACCTCGTGCCGATTGGCTTGAGACTGAGGAGTTTGAGGCCATGCCCTCTGATCCCATCTTTATGGCTACAGACACAAAGAGCCATGGGACGCTCAGCCGGGTGTGTGACAGAGAAATATTCTTGTCTAGTTTTATATAAAACTCTAACTCTCCCCTTTCTGCTCCAGTCATCTTCTACCTCCAGTCAAGATGATGAGAAGTCCACTCTGGAGGAGGTCAGTGAGGGGGCCATTCCCATAGACCAGCCCACTGTGGGAGCGTCCACTCCGGGACAGGGACCAGAGCTCCCCTTTCAGACACACAGTCAGTCCCAGGGCCATGGCCTGAACAAGTCCAGCTCTTCTCCAGAGCTCCAAACACTGCCTGAGGCATTTTCCAAAGCTGCTCTAGAGTCTGACGCCAGAGACTCATCGCGGCCAAGAGCGCCCTCTGATGGTAAACCCCCGCTACATTTGGACAAGGACAAAGAGGCTGTTAATGGACTGGGACAGACCTCAGAGGGTCCAACTGTAGTATCGTCCCAAAGTGTAGGGTCCAAGATGAGGTTGGAGTTCCCCACAGCAGCAGCGTCTCAGGGCTCCATCTCTCCAGGAGGGGGCCACCGCCCAAGGGGCCACACCATCTCTGTGTCTGCCCCCTCATCTCGCAGAGAGAGGCGCACTGACCGGGACTCATATCAGAGCCGCTCTGGACCTAGCAACTCAGAGAAGATGTCTGGACTCAGTCCAAGGTAATGCCGTCAACCAGAAGTAAACAAACTAAACTAAACTAAACAATAAACCATAAACTGAATCTGATACTTGAAGTTGGCTTCCTTCTGACTTGTTTAACCACCAAATATTTTTAGGAAAATTATTTTATATTACTGAATTAAATGATTTCTTCTTGTTTGCTCCAGTTTTGTTTTTCTTCAGCTTTATCACTCTCCTTTCTTTGGGAATGAAGCCAACAAGCCCCTGCTGCTTCCCAAAACTCAGGTCAGGCAACTTCCCACATACAGCTGGTTTTGATCAATTAGGCTATTTAATTATTGTATTAATTAACAATTTCAGGTGATTGACCGTGCTGTGAAGGTTCTGGACCAAATGCCCCCATATGACACCCATAAGATTGGAGTGGTGTTTGTAGGGGCTGGTCAGGTAAAGATCATGCTTCATCTGCAATTATAATTGCTGGAACATTTCCTTTTAAACCTCTGCGCTCTTTTTTTTATTTTTTAGGTAAACAATGAGGTGGCCATTTTGTCAAATGAATATGGCTCTAACCGCTATGCCGCCCTTCTCACTGGCCTGGGTAAATTAATCCATCTGAAGGACTGTGACCCAGACCAGATATTTTTGGGTGGACTGGATCAGTACGGGGATGATGGAGAGTTCACCTACTGCTGGCATGACGACATTATGCAAGGTACATTTTATGGAATTTTCATAGTTGCCCCACCTAGGGATGGGCATGATTAGTCGATTAATCGATAATTGATCATTAAGAATTTCATCGATTGCGTTAATTTTAATCGACAAACCGAATGTAGGTTGCTGTGCGTAGCGTGACCAAACGGGGGTCCGTACATGTAGCTTTCTGCACTCAGAAGGAGCGAGCAAACACAAACGGTCAGTCCACCTGCAACGTACTGAAGTGCATATGCGTATTTAACGATGACTTGTACAAGAAATTCCACGCTTTCCGTTCCGGTCGGGACAAGTGTGAGTCCATGTACACAGTGTACAAAGCTAGGGTGACCAATCGTCCCTTTTTCCCCGGACATGTCCGTATTTTGCGTCCTGTCCTGGGCGTCCGGGTTTTTTTTTTATAAAGTGATGCAAATGTCCGGGTTTTCAGTACCGTTCATTGGGGGCATTAAACTGAGCGTCTCTCTTAGTTCTCTGTGACTCAGAAGGAGTGACAGACACAAACAGTCGGTCAGTCTGCAACATACCGAAGGACAAATGCGCATTTAACAATGACTTGTACAAGAAATTCTTCGTTTTTCGTCCCGGTCGAGACAAGTGGGAGGCCATATGCACAGGTTGAGAAGTGAGAGTACAGTGTCCCTCATTTATCGCGGGGGTTACGTTCTAAAAATAACCCGCGATATATATATATTTTTTTAATTATATCTGTTTTAAGTCTGTAAAACCCCTCACCACACACTTTATACACTTTCCTTAGACAGGACAGGTGCAACCCTTTTTACATCCTTCTTAAAACTTATTGCTGCTGTCGTCCTTTTGTTATTTTCCTCCTTCTTTATGTAACGAACTGAAGATTCATTTATTCCGTAATGGAGCCAACAGCGCAGAGTCCCGCACGGGTCCATTTTTGGAGACCCCCAGTACAACACTGCACCCGCGAGTACAGGACCACACCTGCCCGTTAACCCGAGATTATATCAAACTTTTGCGCTGCCTACGCCACGGACTGAACCAACACTAAACCAGGACTAACCCAGGACTGAAGAGGAGGACTAATCCATGACTGAACTAGGACTAAACAGGACTAAACCAGGACTAAACCAGAACTGAAACAGGACTCACCGTCAGGACGGGCTTGGAGGTGACGCAGGAGAAAGGACCGGCTCAGCTCTGCACCTTACAGAGTTAAACGCGGCAATTGCCCTATCGCGCTTTGCGGACAAACTGCTTGGCCTTCTCTTTCTTAAATCCAAGATTAGTCCTGCTTTAGACCTGGTTTAGTCCTGACCCACCTGTGTGTAATTACTACCCGCCTGTAATACACAATACGCGTTCATACGCTGTAAAAAATTGCACAAAAAAAAAAAATCTGAGAAATCCCCCCCCCAAAGGTGTCCGGGTTTTCACAAACGGAAATATGGTCACCCTAACAAAGCAGCATATATGTTTGGGTGTCCAGTGGGAAAAAGCCTTGCCAGGTGAGAGTAGCGCCATGTCGATGACGAGTCCCCACCTCCCACCTCCTGTACGGTGTCCTGATTTTGACAAGCGCAAATATGGTCACACTAACCTGTATTCCACTGAGTCGTGTCCTTTAATCCGACAGAAATTGTCCGCATCAGAGCACAAGAGCTGTAGTTTTATCTTCGCTTAGTTTATGCAAATTAGCGATGAGGTTTTAAGTTTTGTTTCTGTGAGAGTCTAGAGTGGTTACGGTTTATTTGTCGTAAAGTTGAATTTATTTATGCAGATTAGTAGTGCAGATAGTAATAATAATGATGATCATTTTAATATAAAAACATTAATGATTAATCGATAATCGATCGTTAATTCTTCCGACGATCGATTAAGAAAATTTCAATGCCCATCCCTAGCCCCACCTACCTTTGGGACTGAATATTTTACAAACATTGCCCATGTGTTCCCCCCATGTTAAACCTATTCAAATGCATGTCCATATTAAAATGAACAAATAAATGGGCCATATTTAAGAATAAGTACTTTGTGTATTGTTTGTATTCCATCTTGACTTATTGTGAAGTTTAGAACTTTATTGTTTTTAAACTTAAGCTCTAATTTTATTTATTTACTTAGTACTGATATAAAACTGTGCTTTATCACTTTAGTTAATGGATTTACTTTAAAGTTCTGTTTTTGCAGCCATCTTCCACATTGCCACACTGATGCCGAACCGAGAGAGTGACAAAGGTTGCTGCAACAAAAAGCGTCACATTGGCAATGATTTTGTGATGGTGGTTTACAACGACTCTGGGGAGGAATACAAGCTGGGCACAATAAAGGTTGGTAAAGCACACTTTAATTGTATTGTTCATCGGTGATCATTTTTCTTTTAAACATTTTCTCATTTGTGCTCAGGGTCAGTTTAACTTTGTAGAAGTAATAATAAAACCTCTTGATTATGAATGTAATCTTGTGACACTCCAGTGCCGCAAAGGTAATGTCATAATTTCTGCATTGTAAGTGGGCCTGTACAGTTTCTACAGTCAGTATCAACATATTTGGTTATTTCAGACTTGGAAGGGTTAGTGGACACAACAGTTGCAAAAATTGTGTCCGATCGCAACCTTCCCCTCCTCGTGAGACAGATGGCTCTACATGCAAATGTGAGTCTATAATCATTTTGTGTATTTGCTTTAGTTTAAGAGTTCCAACCTAAACTGTTGTGTTTTCTCAGATGGCATCTCTGGTTCATCAGTACAGAGCCAACCCGTCTGATGCTTACGCCTCCAAGTGGCTGGCCAGACTGAGGCATATCAAGCGCATTCGGACAAGGGTAAAACACCAAAATCACTATCAATTAGGAACAAAAAAGTTTGTGGGAAACATGAATACAGAATATTTTATTTTGTTTGCTTTTGGGTGGTTGATTTGATTGGTTAATGAGACTTTAAGTTTTTGAGCCAAAGTTCAAATGACTACATTTATAACATTGTGAACTGGGAGGTTAATTTTTTATATTGATCCTAGTGTAGCAATAGCAATGTTCTGTATATACAATTGCAACAACATATTTTGTCCTTTTTGATACCATACCTGGTCATTTCCACATAAGCCTAGACCCTAGATTTATGAAGACATTTTTAGGTATCCATGGACAACACAGTGGCAGCCCTAGGTCCAATGGACCTAGTTACTGTAGGCTAATTATTTATTAATGCCTAATTATATTTACTATGTCCCAGGCTCAGGAGGATATCCAGTCCCGCTCCACACCGGGCATCTCACTAACACAGGGCCACTCGCAGAAGTCTGTCCAACAAAACCCTGAAGCTGCAGGTCAACGAAAGAGACTGGTTTCAACGGTTGATGATTTTACAGATTTTGTTTGACAAAAACACTTAATGTTTGGATGATGTCAAGATGAAATGCTTACAGTAGTTTTGATATGAACTTACTCAATCGAAAATCAGCAACAAATATTTAGGCTTCTGAAATAAAAAAAAAGTGAAATACTTGGTTATCTGATTTTTATTTTTTCAATGTATCACAAATATCCATGTGCATTTGTCTAGAATCAGTAACAAACACCAGAGTAAATGTGCGAAGAATGCACTTACTTCTGTACAATTTTCAATATTTTTCTGTGCGTGGAGTAGACATTTCAGTTTGAAATGTGACTATGGTTTACAAAAACACTATATTGGCACTTTTTATTAGACAACATGCAGCAGCCAGAGTCATTGACATTGTCAGGTGCAAAGCATTAAGTGCTATAAATGTAATACAAACAACAATACCAGATACAGGAAAATACAACTACATTACAAATAAGGACCATACATAAACATAACACAAAACTAAACTTCTTATCTTGAACAAATAGCAAAAATGAGTTTAAACGCAGCACTATATTACCCCATTTACTCAAAGGTATTGAAGCATGAAGCAAAAATATATACACTAAAAGCCCCAATATGTACATATATGACTACATACAGATTACATAGTACCTGTATAACCCTCTAAGACTGCTGCACAGGACAGGGTTTACATTTCAGATGCATGCATAATTTAAACATGTACCTACATTTGGAAAAAAATCACTCTTACTTTCTTTTGGGGATGTACTGAGTTCCCTGAGATCTGCCCCTTGGACATTTAATGAAAAAACAATACGTGTGCAGAAAACTATATCTAAACGTATTAATACCTGCATTTTAATAACAAGCGCTTTTACCATGTGAAATAGAATGGAAATGTTAAACAATTAAATATGCCATTGGAATCATCTTCCTTGAAAAATAAAGTGCTAAGTACAAACAAAAGCTGTATTAAAATTACATAGCATGATAATGATTTCAAGCTGTATAAACAACACACACGTTTGGCACTAATACAGTATGTATGAGTAAAACTTTCCCTTTTGGTTTTAATGCCAAGCTTATTACATGATCATGACGTAGCATACCTCATTCAGAACAATTAAAAGTGCTTCAAAACATGATACAAAAGTTAGCTTTAGAGTGGGAGGGTCATGATCTCCCTATGACCTTTAAGACTTATAAGACACAGAAGATGCAAAAAAAAGTTTGCCAATTATTCGGACTCATTTTTAAATAGATGGTTCTTCCTCACATCAACACTGTAGAAAATAAACAGTCTTTGTACCTGAAAAAGAGGCTGAGAGACCCAACAGCCTGTAATGTGTGCTTTGGATCATATCTTGTGTACCATTATGTAATATTTTAAGTACTTCTACAATACCTACAGTGTTCATCTTAAACATGTTTATATGAAAATGTGTATGTAATGTACACGCTTTAATTACCCAGATAGAAAAGTCCAACCATGTGAGCACATTCTTGTGCCCTTGTCACTGATCACACATGACCACCGGGGTCACAAAGCATTTATCAACAACGATTTAACAAACACACACAAACTCACAACAAAAGGGAGTTATCCTGATTTGTAATTTACTTAACTAAACCAACTTGTGCTGAGCGACCTGCACCATCATTTTTCCATCGTTTTTTTTTCAACTTTCTGTTTAAAATTTGCCTTTCCCTGATTTAGAGAGGACATCCTGAGAACCAGCCAGCTGTCTCAAGTTCTCCTCTCTTTCTCAACCCAAATCATCCTCTGCATCTCATCCTTCACTTGCACCATCTATCTCCTCTTAGTTGTCCAAATTTGGGTGCACCTTGTTTTTTAAGGGTGGGGGCTTGCGTTTTCTCTTGCGCGTGGGAATCGTTGTGGTGCGCGGGGTGATTGAACAGACTAGAGGAGGAAAGCCCTGACTGGGTTGGTGTGGAGGCACAGGTGGAAGGCCCAGGGGTGGTTGGGGCAGGGGTAATAGAAGGAGCAGGTGTGGGTTTGTTTGAAAGCGTGTGGGCAGAGGTGGACCCCGAGAAGCGGGGAGGGGCATGATCCTGTGTGATGACTGTCGATTTGCTCAAAGAGTTTGGTATTAAGTGTGAAGATGATGCTTTAGATTTAAAAAAAGGAACTGGTGTGGCAACAGGAGTCTTTTTGGTGTCTTTTCCCTCACTTTTTTCTCCTTTTTTCCCTTTTTTAGTTTTTAGTTTTTCTTTACTGCTCTTTCGTTCCTTCCCCCTGCCTGAGTCTTCCCCATGACCTCTCAAAAGTTTGCTTGTTCCTAGGCCCATCTCTCCTCTGAGCCTTCTCTTCTTCTGGGCTTTTTCCAGCTTACACTCCACATAGTACAGATCCTCTGTTGCCATGGTGACGCGGTCCAGCTGCTGCAGCAGAGCGTCCAGTGTGGGCAGGACCCTCCCTAGAGCGGCTTCGGTTTCCGCCTTCTCCTTCCAGGTTGCCCCTCCCACCAACACCCCCGGGGACAGTCCCAAGCCCAGCCCAAACCCCAGGCCTAGAGTGGCTCCAGGTGCTTCAGTCAGACTGCAGGGGCTGGATGAGGCCGGTCGCCATGACGCCTCTGAGCCCCCGTCCACACTGTCTGGGGTGGAGGGGGAGTCGGGGCGGTCCAGGGGGGGCAGGCACAGGGACCTGCAGTCACTGGTGGAGGAGGAACGGGATGGAGGTAGGTCCATTCCCTCGAAGCGCACTTTATGACGAAACTATGAAAGAAAAGACAAGAAAACTTACTTATACAATCTATAGGAACCATACTATAACTATAACAACTAGTCATACCATTAAAGGTGTAAATATAAGCATTATATAAACAGGTCTACTGACTTACTGTTGAAAACTGCAACAATTCACTGTAGCAAGCTGTGGCTTTTCATTTAGGTGTTTTTATTATTGAAAAATGCCTATGTGACATTGAGTCACATTCATTTCATTTTCTTAAGTACAGAGTACAGAGCACTAACACAATCTTCAAGAGCAAGATAATATCAGACACAACTCTAAGTAAACTAATGATAAAGGAACACTGCTAAAACTGCTAAACTCTTAAAAATTGTACCTCTTTGGCCCTGCTGAGTCCCATCCACATCTTGAGTCTCCGTAGAAAAAGTTCCACCATCTCATAGTCCTGGAGGTCTACTGCAGGACGGTATAGCTCCGCCCTCGCCCGCCTGTAGTTCCTCAGCAACACTGCGATTACAAACCAAACCACCAGGAGGCGAAGTACCGCGAAGCTGGTGTGGAACATGAGTGTGGAGGCACTGCTGGAGGGAGTGTTCATGGCAGAGACAGGCCTCCAAAATAAAACCCCTCTCCCTCCTGTGCCCAGTAGGGACATGCAGGCGGAGCTCACACTGCTGTAGCCATCAAACACTGAATGGAACAGCTGTGGGAAGAAGAGAAGACCACAACTGAGGAGATTCTAGTCATTTAGTCTGCTTTTTAGATTAAAAAATATACACAAAAACTTTGGTCTATGTTAAAAACTTGTTTATCAATCACATGATAAAAATGTTATAGTTATAACACAGGTTTGGCATTGGCACTTTCAGAAGAGATTTCAGGGACAGAGAGAAATAATGGTTATTGTGATTGTCACTCTCAAGGCTAAGTGTAACTAAGCTAGCCATGACTGTATTTACTGTGTAAATGTACTGTTCAGAGGTGTGATAAGATTATATAATCCTTGGTTAAAAATAAATATATATAAAGTTCACAAATTAACTCTTTACTTTTGTAAGAAATAATAAAATGTATTTATCTGGAAGACAAAATAATTTCTTGTATAATTTTATAAAAAACATACAGCCATATTTTATTTCTATTCCATTTTTACTAATTAGATCAAAAAGAGCAATGACACATGGGCACACCGACTGGGGCAGCTTAGAAAACTTATGTGTGTATCGTACCAATAGGGGTATTTGGGACACCCTCCGATATCAGAGACGCCAATAGTGGAACTGATCAATATCCCCCATTCTTAGTTACAAAGTACTGACCAGGTGTCCTGTGTGAGCGTAGGCCAGAACCAGTAACAGCAAAGCCAAAGCGAGGCTCAGCAGCTCCCACCCTGAACGCCTCAGGGTCCTCCCAAACACAGCCCACTCTCGCAGAAACCTGAGCTGATGAGACGCCTGGAGAAAACAACATGCAGTCAAACAGATGGAAGTCAATGTGTAACAACTTCACCATAAAAATAAAATACACCATAATCTATATTCTGTTGATTAATATATTCTGTTTTTGACAATGTATTTTTTGACTGACAAACTCTAAAGCAGTAATCAATAATGACAATCAAATGCAAAAACTGTCCCTAGAAGGGTTTTTATAAAGTACAGCTAATGAAACTAAACCAGAATGAACTATAAGGACATATGGGAATTATATTTAAATTCTAAATTCAGTAATATAAATTTAACGTACTTCTTTTTTATGAAAGAGTCTCAAATTAGACTATATACAAACTCAACTTCTTTCTTGAGTCTATGTGTGGTTGAAGCAGTTTGATATAAATACCTAATAATAATAATAATAATAATATTTTTTTATTTATTTATTCCAAGCTGCTTCAACCACACATATAATCATGGGTACCACGGGATACCACGTATCTTTAAATAATATATATACATATTTAGTGGACTAAAAGAAAACAGCTTAAAAACATAACAGGACTAAAAAAGCCCACATTACCACTGAACTAGAGTTATGTCATGTACCTTCAGCACTAGTATGAACAACAGCAGAGCGGCCATGACGGTGTACAGCTGGCTCTGCTTTGCCACAGGGTAGAAGTCCGTAAAGGAGACTCTATGATGTCTCAGATAAAATGCCCACTGCTGCTTGGCCATGATGCAGCGACTGAGGTGCAGGCCACACACAGACAGGGCCAGGAGGAGTTTACAAACACCCAACAATCGCCACGATGACAGCAAATATGTGTAGCCCTGTTTCAGGTATCCCAGGATGCCCCGAACCAGGAAGTACATGACCAGGACAAAGAGGATCATCTGAAAATGAAAACATTATAAATAAACAAACACTAACTTCTGCATAGTTTTTCAGATGACATCACCAACTGTGGTTGTGGCTTACACAACCTTAATAACATGTTGTATAAAAAATTAATCTAAAGTGCAACTAAAATTGTGTTAAAAAAGTAACTAATATTTTTCATGTGATCTTTATATTTTTATTTAAGTACAAATTTGGCAGCAGTACTTCCACTTATAATTTGTTTATTTTTTGCTAAACAACTACACTTTTACATAAAATTTTTCAATACTCTTTCCACCAATGGTTCTAACCATTTATTCATTATTATTAAACATACCTTTGATGTTTGTGTTACAATAGATTAATTAAATCATGATTTTAAAAAATACTGTCAGAAATATATCATGCATCCCATCAGTGGTACCAGCCCATAGTTGTTGGAGTAAATTGTCTTTATTAAACCTTTATTTAAGTTTTGGTGATTTTACCGTTAGGAGCAGCGGCAGATCCAGACCCGTGATCGGCCAGAGACTCGTCACCAGGAGATTGAGGCTGCACTGGGCACGCTCAGAGACGGGGAAATTAAAGATGAAAGAGAAAACTGCCAGAAGGTTGGTGTTTATATTGTACAATGGAAACTCCACAACTACTGCCCTAGTCCTGCAAACACACAAAAGTTGTGATTTCAATAAACAACATTTTTTTTTTAGAAACTTGTAACTAATGAATGTTGCAATGTGCCTCTTTAGCAAAGAATATTTTTGTCAGTCTGAAAATTACAGTTGTGTAACAAAGTGTAGAAAATTTCTTTGACTGTTTTAAATGAGGCTGAATTTTGTAAACCTAATTTTAATGATGTCTAATTTAATTTACTACAGTTCTTGGACAAAAAAGCTGCAGGACCCTGGTTTATGAATTTAACTATTAATATATTCAACACTGTAAAAATTAACCATGTAAAACATTGTTCTTATAAGTGTTGCCAGGTCCAGATATGACTCTAGTATTTATGTGATTCATTTCCTGAGATCCTCTAAGTAGATTTGGTGATGCTGTACCTGTGGTTGAGCCAATGTTGCCGCTGCAGATGCTCCAAAGAGGAAATAGCTTCTCCCACACTTCGGTTCAGCTGATGGATAACATCTCCACTCTCCAATGCTCTCCTTTTACCAAAACGGTGCAACCTGAATGTTAAAATCAATAGAAATATTATGAAGTATACAATCGACCATAACATGGTGCTGTGGTACATTTTATATTCCTAACACTTTTTGAACCGGTGTCAGACTTAATGTTTTCATACATTTGAGAGATTTATTTATTTTTTATTTCTTGATTAAACACACAACTGTCAACTTAAAAGGAAAATAAACTAATGCAAAATGATCAACCACTGAAAATTTGGAATTGCACTGATCCAGTAAAGTAGCTGGTCAAATTTGCTCAGTCTCTCATTAATTCTGCTGCTAATAGATCTACTTTGCAGCCAAGATGTTCACTTGCTTTCATAGACTGTATATATAAATGGACATAGCTAACCCGCTAGCTGCCACGTTCCAAATAAGAAGTATTCATGGGAGTGCTTCTGGCTCTATCGGCTCTGGTTCCAATTGACTTTATCTTGATAAATTGTCATCCCTCTCTCTGTAACTGTAAAATCATTTTGGTCTTAAAATTACTCCAAATTCACTTGTATAACTTCTAGCCTTATGAGCTTCATTTGACTGGAACCAAATGGCATCACACTCCCTTAGTACCCTTCTTTATGCAGTCTGTGCTTGCTCCTGACATCCTACTCTCTAACAATACAATAATGACATAAAAGTTTTCAGTTTTCCTATCAGTTTTCATTGTGTGATGCCTCATTATATGGTATTGTATTCTATATACCTGATCTTACCTTTTGGCTATTGTGGGTGATGTTACTGAAGGGTCATCTGAAGCTTTTATTTCTTCTGGGAACAAAATTAAAAACATGGAGAACAAACAGAATCATTTATTTGGATCTATATATATGATGAGAAATAACAGCAGATATGAAATGGTTTTATGGAATTTTGAAGACACTGCTATAATAATAATAATAATAATAATAATAATAATAATAATAATAATAATAATAATAATAATAATATAATATATTATTATTATTATTATTATTATAAAAAAATTGGGTGCCACTTAAGAACAAATTAGGGCTGTGCAATCAATCTACAAGATCCAATCACTTCAAATGTTCAATGACAAGATTGAGGCTATGTAAAGTGCCTATGACAAGCTGGACCACTTATTTTGATTAAAACATAGTTAAGATGATTATATTTAAGATTATGCGAAATTTTTTACCTTTTTTTCATCCGAGTTAGGCATTTCTTTAAGACTTAAAATTATACTTCCTGCTTGATCATAACATCACACTAGGGAATTCAATATCACCTAGCAACCATATTGTACATAGAAATTATTATATGTAGAAAACACCTTATTTTGTTGAAATCATGTTTAAAAGTAACAGAAAAAAAAGTTTTTGATAGTAAATTGTGTCAAACTTGGATATAATTCTCCCTCGTCTGATGCCATCCTATGTTTTAGAACTCTCTACTTCCTGTAATTTCCAACAAAATTTTCAACTGAATCGCTTCTTGATTGGTGTAAAACTGACATTTATATTTACAACATGTATATTAAATTAAGTCTAAATCTGAGAATCATCAACACCTGTGATATGCACTTTAACGAAGAGGTCCACAGCCAATCTCTGTCAAACCATGTTGTTGGGCAAGTAGTGAAGGAATTAAGGAATTATTTTGTGTATGTTTTGAATAAAGAGCATTGATTCTAAATTGATATTGTTTATGCTCATGAAATGAAGCCAGATTTAATAAGAAAAATGTTGCCCTATCACCCGTCTCTAGAAAGAATTGCTTTGAATGCACTGCAGAAACTATATATTTTGTTTTCTTCAGGATTAAATAATAAATATAATTGTTACATATATAATATTGGTTCAGGTAACTTTCATACTAACCTTGTAGATCTCGTATTTGTCGAAATCTTACAGTACCAAGCAACACACTTCCTGTATCTTGAAGGAGTCTTGAGTCATCCAGTAGTCGTGGCAACAAGGACCCATTCAACCACATCACCACATCCTCTCGGCTACAAATATATAAAAGCGTTCACTATGTTACAGAAGGCAGAGGTTATCCTGATAATGATATGTGCCTTAGAAGTGTGACAGATGTCAAGCGCAGTGTATAGAAAAAGAACCTAATGCATTCATGATTGAGAGCAAAGGGTAACACCTACAGAGTACAGCTGGTTTTACTTTTATTACCTGGTGATTTTGTGGTATTCTGGCGTGTGCAGGGCTTGTTGGAGCTGAGTGCGAAGCCTCAAACTGTGAGTGTCTTTGGTTGAGTCCGAGTAGTTCAGGAGAATAACCACCAGCAGTAAAAACATATACACCAGGAAGTTCTGTGAAGAAATGTCATCGGGATTCAATATCTGAGATCCATACAGATTTTCTATACTTTACCGTGCGAGTAAAATGTCAATGTCAATATATCAATATTGAGTTCTGAGTGAAAGGACAGGAAATTGGAAAAATCTTATCATTATAGATTACAGTTGGGCCAAAGATAAATTATTGAGACCTGGACTAAAACTACCTTTTAATCACTGGGTACATTTACATGGCTAGTAAAAATGAAATACTGTAACTAGAGTAATCAAATAACCATACAATAAGACCTGATTTTGGTGTGTGTGTGAGTTTTAGATTAGCTGGTGTACTTGGAAGACAAAGTTCAATGAATTTCAAAATAACGCTTTTAACCTTTAACATTTTCTCTTTTATATTTGTCAAATAATCTTTTTCAAAACCTGCACAGATGTGTACAATCAGAAAGGAATCAGATTACTCACATCACATGTAACTGTATGTATTAAATCAATCTTTGTTTACTGATTTCTTCTAATTTGGAATGTTACTTGAAACCCTTTGCTCAGTTGTATCTAATAAGAATCACCTTTAACATGGTGTGCAGCATGTGGACTTTGCGCGCCTGCTGTCGGGCCTGGGACAGAGCGAAGCCCTGGGGGGGGCGCACTCTGTGGACCCTCTGCACCACCCGCTCCACCCGCGGGAACTCCACCAGCACATCCTGGTCCTCCGGGCGCAGCCGCTGCACACACACTGCATAGTACACAGCCTCACAGATCACCTGCAGAGGAGAGGAAGCTTTAAACAACTAAAAGCAAAAGGGATCATTTTATGATCACTCACCTCCGTTAAAAAATAATTAATGCACATTTATGTTAATACTAGCATATTATGCATATGTCTGCTATATAGGTGGATCATTATGTTACAATTTGCATATTTTATATCACAATATTCATCTAAAACAACTTAATAAAAGGACTGCTGACTTCATGCTAGAATGAAGTATGTGCACAACAGTGGGTGGCAATGAAAACAGGAGTTGATCCACAATATGGAGTCTTGAAAATAAGCAATTAAAGACATGCAAAATCACTCCAAATAGAACTTTGAGAGCGCAAATGAGAATGAGAAACAACTATAACCAGGTTAAAAGCTCTAAAAAGTTGATTTTGCATAATAGGCTGCTTTTAAGAGGGGGTATTATGCAAAATCTCTTAAGTACAAGCTGTTTACCTTGATTGGCTCCAGAAGCAGACAGGAGCACAGGATACTAGAAAAGCATGAAATAAACCACATCATGGCCACCTTCTGATTAAACCCGTGTCCTGCCCAAATGGAGACAAAGTTGGCCAGTACGATTCCTGCCCAGCTGCCCCACAGAGCCGCCCGACCGCACCAGGGTGGGAAGCGCCGCGGGCGGCACACATCTGTCACCACTGCACAGAGAAATGTCAAAGACAAAACAATGATCATACCACAGCTACTTAAAGAGTATCTGTTATTATTATACCTTTATTATTATACCTTTAAGTGTATCCTAAAACCCACCTGTGTTTGATGTGAAAGCAGTTTTTGGTGGGTCCCTTCTGACAGTTTCAAGAGGAAGAGGTTCATTTAATTTGTGAAGAAGAATAACTTCAGTTTTGTCCCCAAAGATGCTTGATCTGAACACAAATTTAGAGTTAAAATAAGCATTAACTTCACAAGTCTTGTTAAAGAGTAATTATGTATTGAGCTGGTACTTACAGATCTGCCATCTCACTTTCATCAGCCTCAGGGAAGAAGTTTTGTCCATCGGCCAAAATGTGCTTTATTAAATCTTCGTCTGTGAGTTTAAAGTTTAAATGTCAGCTTGAACACTGGGTAAATTTGCACGACCAGTAAAAATAGGATAACTAGAACAATTCCAAACCCAAAAGTCAGATCAGATTATTGCTGAGTGTTTACATGCACAAAAGAAAACAGAATACCTGTTTACATGTGTCTGCTAATAACCAATGGGTGGATGAATGGATAGTATCATTTATGTCTTTGCCACATTTTGACTTAATTTGTATAATTTTGCTTTTCAAACCAACCCAGTGAAAACAATCAGAGAGAGAATCAGATTATTACTATGTACATGAAATTTCTATTTTCTGATAACTCTGGATAACTCCAGAAATTAGACAATGATCTGATTCTGTGTGCATGTAAACATAGTCACTGTATCATGAAAACAACTGACACTAAAGTCATTAGTTTACCTGAAGAGGTGAAGTATTTGTTGTGTTGTCCATCTTCATTATCAGGGTTAAAGGCTATGTCCACTCCTAAATGCCTGCTCCCCTGACCCCTCTTCAGTCTGGGGAGTCCCGCCCCATGTCCTCCCCCGCCCACTGCGGACACGTCACTCGTGAGCTCCGGCCAGTCATGCTCCTCCATGTCCTCCTCTCCCATGTCCCAACTCTCATCACTAAAACACAATGAAACCTAATTCAAAACCGTTTTCTAAAAGCTATAAACAATAAAAACTTGAACTGAATTGAAATATATAAATCATAGTACTATCTGAATACGTTGAATGAATTACTGCTAAACTATTATTTGATGTTCAATTAATATTAGTTAAATGCATGGTAGCTCACCTTTTTGTTGATGGTGTAGGTAAATCAACATTTGTTTCTTCGGAATTGGTCTAAAAATATAACACAAGCATGAGGAAATCATTCTTTTTATTTATATAGGTATATATGCATATACCTCTCCACTGAAAAAGAGAAATGAACTTCCAGCCATGGAGTTATCAAGAAAGTCATCGATCTCCACTGACTCCTGGTCAACCTGTGGAGGCACCTGCTCCACAGTTACACACTATGGAACAAACAAAAACAAACCATATGATTATGGTCAAATATCTGGCTATGCAGAGCACTGTTGTGAGCATGTTTACCTTACTACGGCTCATTCTGAACAGTGTGAATACGAGCAGGTATAGCGGGTAGACCACCAGGCAGACCACTACACCTGCTGCCACTGTCTCTCCGTTCAGAGAAGAAAATGTCGACACGGCCCTTGGGCTGAAGCACAAAATTAAATATTCAGATTACTGTCATAGGAGGAGGCACCTGAGAACATGTGGTCATTTGTGTATATGAACAAGTATATATGAGCAAACCAGCACAAACCAGCAACACCAATCTGACCATGTACAGAAATAATTCTTAAAACTACTAAACATGCAGATTTAAATATGGATTTTTTTCTTCTATTTCATAGAAATGTGAGATATTAACTTGTAGCCATAGTCTCTGCTTGTAACAGAAAATTAAATTATTCAAGTTATAATTAGGAAAGGAGCTGGGACTTGCAGCTTTGTGCCAGTAACTAATATCATTTTAATTTGACTTGTGACTTATTTCTAACCTGTTTATTGATCACATGTTTAAAATAAATTAATTCAGTCTATGCCTACCTCAATATTGTTACCTTAGTATTGTATTCTATGTAACCACTGATATGATAGAAACTTAAAAATATGCATTCTAATAGTCAGTGGGATCTTTTTCCCACTGATCCCAGCCCTTACCTATAAAGCCTCAGTACACACAAAACAAAGTCAGAAATGTGCATATGCAGCTAGTCACGTCACAGTTTCTGTTTATAAAAAAAAAAACAATATGAAAGGGAAACATTGCACTCATCTCTGCAAGGTCTGGAGCTGGTGTATATGGTATGCACTTTTCAGAAACACGGCTCAGAAACGTGGAGAGCAGTGAGGAAACATGAGGGGAGAGAGTTTGAGGTAATCATGTTTGGTAGAAGTTTGAAAAAGACACAGAATCTAACTGAACTGTAACCATTTAGTCACAAGCGTGTGGGAAACATACACAGTTTGTCTGAGTATCATAATTTTACAACATGTTGTGATAATTAGAGGAGAATAAAGAGCATTGGAGCGCATTAGCGCTGGATGATGCTGATGTCAGATGATCCCTGCAGCATCAGAGTTCTTTTATGAAAAGATCACTGAACTTTTTATGCTGATATTGCTGATAGTATTTGAACCTCTCCTACAGCTGGTCTATGGAGAAAGCACACGGCCAAAGGACAATCAAAGTCGAGCCACAGTTGCGAGCACGGCAGTGTGGCTACTCTGTGACAAATCCTTCACACTAAAACCTGAGCGTGCACAAGGGTGCACAATGTGAAATGAGAATTAAATATAAAGCATATGTTTAAATATTGAAATGACAGGCTAAGTCAGTGTGTTAAAATACTGAACATTTTCTCACTTTCTTTCTAAATTACCATGTGCCTTTGTCCTCTGCTGCATCATCTCCCGCTTAGATGATAGTCTACAGTCTCCCTAGAGCCTCCTCTTTGCCCCTGTGTGTCAATCAAGCCCGCTCATTATCAGCTCGATATCAACTCATGTTTATTTAAATCTCATTCAGGACTGACTTGTCTTTTTATGGCTTTTATGGTGGTGTTGAAGGGGTGGTTGTATAAATTCCAGTATTTTTCATGGACTTTCATGTATGCGAAATTTGTGTTTTGTCCATACAATCTATTTCAAGTAGATTTTGATGTTGTTTTACTCTATTTTTCACTCTTATAAATGAGGCCTCTGACCTGTAACTTGGCCAAGGGGCATCACCCGCTTATCTCCAAAGAGCAAGTTTAATTTACTAAGGAACATTAATTTACTGAGGAACATTATAGACAAAGCAATAACTTCTCATATTATATACAACCAGTTGCAGATCCTCCACAAGTTTCATTCATCTTTAATTAACTGTCATTATATGTGCTGATAAGATGTTTGCATTTATAAACATGCTGAAACTGATAATATGAATGAGAATGAGAATACATTTGAACTAAAATGCACAGTACCTGATTCTTTTGTCAACGACTACGCTGTACCACAGTGTGTTTGCCATAAGAATGAGCTGCAGTAACAATGCACAGCAGGTTGCCCTCTGTAGGCGGGAGAAAGGACTGCGTGGGGGTCGCTCCCATAGTGACAGCCACAGGTGGCTCTCACAGACCGCTCTCTCCAGCTCAGTGCGCAAGAGCCGCGGTAACTGCCGGAGCATAGCATCCTCTGAAACAAATCACAAGTAAAAATTTTTTACAATAGACAACAATGTGGGAAAAATTATAAAATATATACATTTTTAAAATTCGTTTCACCATTCAAAAGATAAGATATTGATTTGAGGCCAGGGATAGCTACAATGCTGTGATTTCTTTTCTGCAATTGTATTTGATAATCATATTTTGAAGACAAGATTCAGTTTATAGAGCACATTATAAAAATGTCCAGGATGGCTTTGAAGACATGTTTTTAGTATACACAACAAACGGTTAGAGAGCTTTATACATATGGAGTCAGGATTCTTTGCCCATACTGCAGTATTAACCTAAACAAACATCATCTCACTTGAATTAGGATATACAGTGACTTACCTGAGGCCTCTACTTCAATCTCCACTTTTCTTCCAGTTTTTTCATTGTCCACAGACAACCAATCATCAACCAGGAAGTAGTAACTGTTTCCTGTTTGGAGATCTTTGACCAGGACATACTGTAGCAGCCATGCTGGGGACAGACCTACATAGATACACATATGAAATAAACGGATGCAAATTTGTGTTATTGCTATATTTCATGCACTGTGTGATTACTAATATTAGTACAAGCTAGCTAATATAGTGATACAAATATAGCTCAGATATTTGTAAGAGATCGTAAGGATAAACATTACAAAGATGAAATGATTGCCAGGACATAGGGTTACCTTTGTTGTCATGCCAAATCCGTATTTTCCACACACTGCCCAGGCTGGTATCCGTGGCGATGTGGAAGATATCAAGAGCATTGCGTGTGAAGGCACCGCGACTGTCCAGGTGACGATGACCGCTGCGGCTCTCTCGTCCATACAGACTGATGCCTACATGAGCAGTGGTGCCTAAAACAAAACAGACCCAGACTGCACTTTATAATGCTCGCAACCAAAACCCTGCAGATGCAAAACACAGGTTGTTTCTTTTGTTTTTTGTGCAAAGTGGTTATGTTTTCATCCATTCAATCAGCAAGCTACATTTGACGATTTTGAATGAAACCAAAAATAAATTGGGTGGGCATGCTATTTTAAAACTGACAAGACTGTTAAACTGTAATGTGTAACTTGCATGACTCAAAGAGCATTTTATCAAGCTGATGATTCACATAGAACTATTTAGTAGGAAGGAGAGATTGTTTGATTGTCACCCGTTGTTCAGTGTCTGTGAAAAGTAATATTGGTACAAATAGAAACCCAAGGTTGTTTTTTATCGATTGAAAACAGCATTCACAGTGTACAAGGGTATCTTCTGTTTTCTTGTCTGATAGTCTTCCATAACTCACCTGCTCCTTGGCTCCAACCGGTTTTGACCTGCACCTCGTATTTGAAGAGCCCCTCCTCACCGCAGAGAGGGATGACACCAGCCCGCCGGAGATCGATCTGGTCCAGTTTATGCAAAATGGCAGCTGCTATGACGTAACTTAGTAATCCCAATACACAAACCAGTAGCACCACAAGGCTAGGCGCTCCATATCGCTCCTAAGGAAAAGATAGATTATGTTAAAAATAAAGTGGATGCATATTCTAAATTGTGCCAGAAGGAATTCACTGAGTGACC